GCTTGCCAAGCTTGCTTTAACTCTGAGGGAGTTGCCATCTGGTTGACTGCTGTATTATGCTGAGTTTCAAGGGTCTCTTGTTTCTGATGAGCGTCAACATGTCGCACAGACACAGCTTTAGTTTGCACAATGTCCCAAATCCTTTCCCACCCCAGAGTTCCTCATCATGTATCTTCCACTGTGTGGCAGCCCATGTTGGTAACCAGGTTCGCAGACCCTTGTATACTCCCCAGCTATCCGTATAGAGGTAGCGTGCATCTCCCTCATCGAGAGCTATAGCTGCGGCCTTTAAGTCGGCCCAAGGACTTGAGTATCCCGTTCCTCAGGCAAAACAGATGATAGTACCCGTGGCAGGACTGTATGCTGCAGAGCGCCACACTCGCTCTCCTGCCCAGGAATACACTGCACTGCCATCAGAAAACCAGGCCCACCCTCGTTGCTCAGGAGATAACGTCTCGAAAGGAGGCGCCTCTTGGACAGGCGATGGCTCTATTGGGGGAGCAGGGAGGGGCAGCCCCTCTGGCTCAGACAACAGAGGCATGTGCTCAAAATATATTTCCCCTAACAAGGTTGCATGTAGGGTACTCATGTCCTTTCTTCCCTCCTTAAACCGGGCTTGTAAATAGTGTTTCCATTTCCACTGAGTTGCAGCTTGGGCCCCCCGCCACATGGACCCTGACTGTATCATCAGTCACCCATGCCTGAATGGGGATGAGGGGTGTGTAAAGTCACCGGGTCACGTCCTGTAACTCCTTCGGTATCCTGCAAAGCCCACCCCACAGCCAAAAGCTGTTTTTCTAGAGGTGTATAATTTGCTGTAGCCCCTTGCAGGGAACAGGACCAGAAACCTATAGGTTCCCACCTTGCGTGAACACATTGCTGCCACAACCCCCAAGACACCATATCCCTCATAATCGTTACCTCCAGCTCGAAAAGTTGTCCCTCATATGGAGTGAATAGTTCGGAGTGTTGGACCACCGCCTCCTTGCCCAGGTCAAAGGCTTGCTACTGTTCTTTAGTCCATCGCCACTGGCTATTTCTTTTGGCCAAACGCTGTAGCGGCCGCATTAAATATGCTAAGTGGGGTATAAAGGTCCGCCAGAACCTCAAAAGGCCCAAGAAAGCTTGTAGTTGTTTTACAGTAGTGGGAACAGGGTACTGTTACATAGTATTGCGCACTTTCTCAGGGACAGCTTTCGTCTGCCCCCTCCAGACTGTCCCTAGGAATCGCACACTGATGTCCGGCCCCTGCACCTTCTTAGGGGTCACAGCCCACCTCTGCTCCTGTAGGGTCTGTACTAGCAACGATAGCTGCTCATGCACTCGTTCTTTAGAAGGTCCCATTATCAAAATATCATCAATGTAACGATGGATGGTACACCCTGTAAGGGGGGGAAGGAGATCAGCTGAGACCATCTGGTGGCAAACGGTGGGGCTATGTTTATAGCCCTGAGGAAGGACTTGAAACGCATATTGGTTGTTATCCCATGGAAACGCGAATTGATCTTGCGATTGCCGGGACATAGCAATGGAGAAGAATGCATTCGCCAAATCAATGACAGCTTTCCATTCCTGCAGATGTTTCCCTGCTCCTTCTAGCAGAGTTACCATGTCAGGTACTACGGCCACTAACGGTGGGGCAATTTTATTTAGCTCCCTATAATCCACAGTCATACGCCATGACCCATCAGGCTTCCAAACAGGCCAAATAGGACTATTCAAAGCCGACAGGGCAGGGCGTATCATTTGGGTATGCAATAAAGCGTCTATAGTTTCCTGAAACTCCTTTTCCCCACCAGGAATCCCATATTGCTTCACTTGCACCACAGTGGGGGGAACCGGTAAATCCACAGGGTCCCATTTTGGATACCCTCTAATCAAAGTGATGGATCACAACTGCGGTAACACAGGACTCCTTCCAAAGGAGAACAATCCTTGCAGGGTCTGAATATCTCTGCCCAGTAACACATCGATCCCCAAGATGTACTCATGAACCGGTGCTAATAAAACAGGGGTAGAAAATGGGGAGTTTTTGCCAACTGCTAATGTAACTACAGCCCGTACCGCTGGGGCGGCCGAACCTCCCAACCCACATACGTGGGTAGTGGCCTTCCCCAGAGCTACCGCGCTATGTAATACAGTAACTTCTGCCCCAGTATCTATTAAAGCCAGCACAGCGATTTCCCCTCCAGAGCGCCAGCGAACACGCAGGGGCACATAAGGGCATCAGCCCCCCCCCCCCATGGTAAGCCACAACTGGCGCTCGTATTGCGGGGAACCTGCCTCCCCCTCATTGTCTTTTGGCTGGCAGTTTCCACGCTGTGGCTGGGGCGGTAGGCTGTGTCCGATATTGCTGATTAGCAGGCAGCCACTGCCACTGCTTGAATAAGTCAGCAGCAGAAAGACCATTTATCTCATCACACAATACCCCTGCCCGCAGCAAATCAGTCCACATCTGTCACCTCGTTACCTTTCCACTCAATTTAGTAGTCCCTGCCAATCTTCTCACCTTGGAATTCCGAGCTGCTCTCGCTTGCTTAGTATCCGGTCCACCAACAAGGGCCAAATCCCTCATATTGTTTACCAACGCCCCTACTGACCCAGTTGCAGGCATTACTGTGCCAAGCAGTAACGCCTTTAAGGCACTTGGAGCCCCCTTTAATAGTTGGGTTTTCATCTGCCATGTTATTTCCACACCATCCGGTCCGTCCACATCTGCTAACCCAATTGCTACCCCGAGCTGCCGCAACACTCAAAAGTACGCCACGCTCCCACTGTAGTGGCTAATTCACCTGTGGACGGGTAAGCACCCACCACAGTGGTGCATAACCACTGATATAATGTTGGAGCTTCAATAACATTCCCTGCCCCATCCCGCGCAGAAGTTAATTGGGTAAGGCAATACTGTGCTTGAGCATCGGTTGATAAGGGGCTCATTAAGTTCAACTCCTCTCTTAAGAGAGTAAGCGATCCGGCACCTGCATCCCATGCCCTCACCAACCAGGCTAACAAAGGCTCTCCAGGCTGCTGCTGGAAAGTTTATTCAGTCTCAGGGACAAAACAACAACAATGAGGTATGATTGAACAGAGGAATAAGAGATGTTGGGAAAGTCTTTGGAAATGGCATATAATATGAATAGGTCAATAAGTATGGATGTCCAACTGAATCAAAATGTCTGGGCAGATTTACCATTAAACCACTGCTGTTGTATTGCAGCATGCTACTTGGCTAAAGATAGAGATACCTTCTCAAATGCACACTGCTGGTAAGATCTGATTATATATGATGTATATGATATGATTATATGCATGTATGTATGTATGATTATATCTGATGTCTATTTCTCTGCTGAGCTACTTATTTTTTATCTTTAATATAGGCCTATTTTAGTCAGAAATTGATCTTGTCTGATCAAATTTCTAATACCAGATGCTGTCAGCTATCAGGAGAAACAAATGAGTTCTTACTAGATAGGGTTCAAAGAAACTAAAATAACTTTTTCTCAGCTTTGTAGCTAAGGAAAAAAATAGGACCTTGTTATTAACTTGTCCCATATCTGCGTTTCCCCACATCTTTTCCTGTCTTAATGTCACTCAACAGCAAAAATAGAGAGGGGTTTGATATGATATCTTGTAACAGATTATGATCTATTTTCAAATATTAGCTCAGTTGCATTACCTGCCCTACCATTGTTTCCCAACATGGCCCTCTGGGGACATCTGCAGGGTCCACCTGTATTGGAGGAGCAGTCAAATTTTCTGGAATAGTGCCACTGTGTAGACTGGCTTCCCATATTGTCATGTTATACTTGACTATCTTCTCTTCTTCCAACTAAAAAATAAATAAATAGGAAAACAGCATTATGAGGTTGTGTTACCAATTCTCAACCTTTTCTACTGCAGGACTCCCATTTCCAGCTCAAGCATGAACATGTATAGGAAGAAAAGAGATTCTCTCCCTGACAATTCTGTGATATGGCTGGAAATCTTCATCCTTGCCCTGCTACATGCTAAAAATGGTGAAGGGAGGTACCCTGTAAATAGCTTGCCTTGAGATTGATTTCATCCATCAATGCAATAATGAAAGTGTAGAGATTGCCAAGGAAAAGAACAAAGATGCGTCCCAGCTGCCACCTTAGAGCTATTCGAGGGTGGTAGTTTTCCAGAGAACTGATTACATCAAATAATTTTGGGCAGAACATTCCTAAAAGTGACATCATCATGTTCACCTAGGGAAAAAAAAAAGAAAAAAGAAAATAAGAAGTATACAGTGAAATGTTAGAGGCAAGTTCTTTGATTATTATTGGTTTGGGAGGAGGGTGTATTTCCATTGCTACTTTTTAGTTGATATTTGATTTAATGAGAAACAAAATCAGTTTGCAGAGTCACAGGATGTTTTCACAAAGAAAGGGGGTGAAAAATCAGTACTAGCCTACTGTAGATGGATATATGAGGTCTTTTTTTTATACTGCATGAAATTAAATTTATCTGACATCTCACCCAAAATTAATTCTACATGTCCTCACTGCATAGGCAAATTCAAGTCAATCCTTCTTCTTCCTGCCTGTTGTTCTTTGAAGCCTCTAACAACCTCACCATAGCAGTATGGAAATCAAATGAGTTTACTGAATGCAAAATTAGGAAAAAAGATAGCTAGCTTTCATTAAAAGTTTGAAAATTCAACATGGATTATATATTCTACAGAAAATGAGGCATTCCAAGGATCTAACATTCCTAAGTGGTTGCTAAAATTCACGCCTGCTTGAAACTTTTGGTGAAATAGTGCAAAATCCAATGAATTGTGTCTGCCAAAAATGAAAATAATTGAAAAGGTGTAAAAGTGCAGTTTTTCGATTTCAAATAAAATTTCATTACAAAAAGTGTATTTTCAAGGGACTAAAAAAAAAAACAACCAACCAACAGAAAACATTATTTCAAGCTAAATGACAAAGGTTAGTGGAAAACACAAAGATTTTTATTTGAGATGACGCATATATAAAACAAGTAAGAAAAAAGGGTTGATTTAGTCACAAAAAACATAATTGTCCACAGAACTCTAATCTTTCAATTCCTCTGAAACTAGCATTTCTCAGTCATCCTAGAATTCACCTTGCTAAAATTGATACAAATTTTAATATATTTCTAACTTCCTACTATCAAGAGAGTTAAGACTGGATCTTGGTTCTCAGAAGTAATGTGGCAGCAGAAAGGCACTGTGCCAACAATTCATCCACTTACAAATTTGTACATTCTCAGTCTTACAAAGTTTCTTCTGTTGGACTGATGTTTTTAATTAAAAGAAATAAATGGCTTTCCTTTTCCTGTTTTTCAATTCTTGTTTTTTAATGAGTTCTAGAGCTAATTACTGGGTTTTTGTATTTATAGGCAATCAGTAGTACATTCTGAACATGTCTTGTGGCACTGTGTAAGAAATAGTCATAGGTAGATTTTTAATGATTACAGGAATTCATTGATGTTTCCTATGTATTTAGAGAGTGTTATTTGTCATTGGGATTAGTTCGTTAAAATAACAATAAGCCACTATTCTTTCATAACAGTCAAAAAAGAAAGAAATAAACAAAAACATATAGATGCCATCACTTGCAGTATTTGGCTTTATAACTGAAAAGGTAGGATTTATATTTAAATCTCCTGTAACCTTGACCTTATTATTTTAACAGCTGATGGGTTTCATACTTTGTTTCAAAAAAAAAAATCTCTTATGAAAATTGTGGATCTTCTTATTTTTGGTACCTCTAGAAGATGGTATTAAGCACTAGGATATTAAGCTCTAGATGAGATGCTAGTGCTTAATACATTGGATTTTTTTTCATAACAGTAAAGTGTGCAAATTTTTTAATCTTAAAATCTTAAAAGTATCTAACATTGTTTCTAACATATATTGTCTCAGTCCCCATTAAGCCAAACAAATAATGCCCAGTATAGCTGCAGATGGCAAATACAGATTCTCATGCTGGAGCCAGCTACAGCCAACATGATCAATCATGAATCCTTAAAATATAAACTTCTCATAACAGGCTGCATT